CCTCCCCCGGCTGTGCCTTGAGCCGCTGACGGTCCCTCCTAGGTCCTGTGGCGCCTAGCGCTGGAAATTGTAAATCCAGGCCCTTGGCACGGATGCGCGGTGGAAGGAGGTTTCCATAGCGAGTTGTGCCTGAGCCTTGCAGGGACAAGAGTAGGCTCAGGGGAGAGCTTATCGCTCTCTACAAGTACCTGAAAGGGGGTTGTAGCCAGGTGGGAGTCGGCCTCTTCTCCCAGGGAACTAGAGACAGGATGAGAGGATGTATTCTTAAACTGCAGGTTTAGGTTGAACATTAGCAAGGATTTATTCAGAAATGAGGCGATTAGACATTGGAATGGGCTGCCCAGAGAGGTAGTGGAGTCACCATCCCTGGAGGTGTTTGAAAGTCTGGCTGTGGCATTTGGTGCCATATTGCAGTTGATAGGGTGTTTAGTCATAGCTTAGACTTCTCCCACCTAAGTGATTCTGTGATTCTATGATTCTACAGAAAGCAGAAAATTCTGGGCCTGGTTCCAGATCAGGTTCAGTCAAACCCTGCCAGCCCTGGGGTATCTGGGGTGTTTGGTCCACCATACATGCCAAGGTTGTGATACTGAAAGTAGTCCCAGGTGACTTGGGCACTGATGCAGTGCCTGGGAAAGACAGGGGTGCTGGTGCTCAGGATGCTGTCCTGCTGCTGGAGGGGAATGACAGTGGTGCTCACAGGCGGTTTAGCCTTTGGTGCTTTGGCCATGCCACACAGAGGAGCAGCAACAGCAAGAGGGTAGCAGGTCAGTGGCAGGCTGTTCAGGGACACCGGGGCCTGGGCAGACCAGGCATGGAGCAGCAGGAACCTGTGATATGTGAGGTACAAGAGCAATATGGGTTCAGGCTGGAGGAGCAGCAGAGAGGTTGCAGCCAAGGGGTGGTTGGGTGATCACTTCTGCCCCTTGGGGTGCACATGCACTGACTGGCTGTGTGGAGAAGTGTGCATAGCATCTGTCCATCCTGCCTGAATCTTATTAATGCTGTTGAGAACTTCACTTTCATAAGGTCTAAAATTCTCTGCGTTTTAAAGAGAGCAGAAGGACTGTCTGGAGTGTATGGGCTCTTCTTTCCTGGAATGTAAAGAAAACCTCGGCTGTGCAGCTGGAGTGCAGGGGGCTTCATTCCTTAGTGAAAGCAGAGAAGGGAAATGCAGATGTCACAGCTGGGACAAGAGATTTATCTTGGCAAGCAAAGAGGAAAAAATTTTCAAAAAGAAAAGAGAAAACTCAGAAGAATCCCCTCCCCATCTTCACTGCTTGCCAGCGTGAGCAGAACCTCCAACCTGCAAAGGCCTTTCGTCTCCTGGGCCTGGGCTGCCGCCCAGCTGGATTTAGCCCCTCGCTGCTTTCTCTTTGGAGCGAGACCATTGTGGTGGGATGAGAGAGGCTGTGAGAACCAGGCTGATCATGAAGTAAGACTGTGTCCAAACAACTCAGCTGGAGGTGGGGAGGGGAAAGTCACAGTCAAAGAATGGAAGCATGAAAGGGAAGAGGAGGGACAAGATGTAGACAGGATGAGTACTGAGAAGCGGATCCACAGGGAGGAAGTCATCACCTCCTCAGCCATGCTGCCACTGGACTACAAGAGTGCTACCTTAAGGCATCCCATGTGCAACCAGGCAGGGGAGAAGGTTTAGTGCCTCAGTCTCTGGTGGGGCCTCCAGAGTTCTCACATCAGCTCTGGGTGGGGGTATATGTAGAGCTTGCATTTGGATATCTGGATGCCTTACATTAGCTCCCAAGATAACTGTTGTACAACAGGAAAGGGTGTTTGAATGAGAAGTGCACGCACGCACATACAGTGTGCTATTTAGACAACCCTAAGCATGAGGTCAGGGTGAAAACATGTGGTGGAAATATGTTTGGAAAAGTCAGTGCCTATGTCGATCACCAGGAGTGGGAGGGAGCAGAAGCCAGGAGCTGACAGATTCTCACTCTCTCCCCATGGCTGTGGTGGCCTCAGCCTGAGCAGATTCTATGGTGGCACCAGAACAGGTTAAGGCTCTCTGTAGGGCCTAGAGATGCAATGGTTGTCGCCTCCCCATACCTGTACACACTGGCTCATCCTCTTTGGGTGCTGCCTCCCTATCCTCCTAGAGTTTGAGGGGGACAGGCAGCCAGAAATCAGGCTTGGATCAGGAAATCCAGCACATCCTCGCCATTGCATTTCTGTCCCTTGGCTGCCCCCTCCCTGACCGCTCACTGGTAATACAGCTTTGGAAACACATCTCGTGCTATTTCTTGGCTTTGGAGCATAGTTAGAAGGAGAAGGAAGGAGGGTGTGAAGGGGAGGGGAAGATAACAGGAGCGAATAATGCAAAATGAGACTGTGCTGCGAGCTTTGTATCCCATCTGGAAACTGTTTTCCCTCAGTACACTGCACACCCACTCCCTCTAGGCCAGGATAGTAAGGGTCAAGTTTCCCTGTTGACTGGTCCCCCGTGCTAAAGCCAGACCCATCTGCATGAGCGATACTTGAAATATCTTAAAGGAGAATCTCAACAGAGTTTCCGAGTCCTTCATTGTCACTATTAGAAATTCTTGTCCAATCCTCTGAGGAGCAGGAGCTGGCTGGTCTCAGCCCAGCTGGAAGGCACTCTCAAGAAGTTTTGGTCTTGAAGAAGCTGTGAGAGGATGAGGCTTTCGTGCGTGTGTATCTCTGTCCATCCCACTTCCATTCACACCCAAATTTCCATGGACTCCTTCTTGGACCATCCCTGGTCTGCTGAGACTTTTGTTGCCATTGTGTTGGCAAAAGTCTCCCCAAAGCCCAGTCGTGTCATTTTGTGGCAGCACATGAAGACCTTTAGCTGTGCTGGGCCCAGCCTGGGTGGGAATGGAGGGCTAGTGACCACCCAGCACCTTCCATTCCAGCAAGGATAAAGCTACTATCAATTTGATCAGGTGATAAGGTGATAAACCTGTTTCTCTTCATTGCTCAGAAACTTGGAGCGCTGACCCTGCTATGTGCTGCTGTGATATACACAGCCAAGTCACCATATCCTAGTTCCCTGAAGCCTCTCTCACACATGCAAAGGAAGAGTACGGCTGAAGCTTTCTCTGAGTTTTGCAAGTTAAATGCAGCTCCCAAAATTAGTCTGGGTGGGACAAAATTTGCATATTCTGGGTTAAAAGGCTCAATCTAAATTAATTAGTAGCAGTTTTGATGGCATCTAGCCAAAATAAGCTCTGGGTTGCTCCTCACTGTGTCTATCACAGTTGGATCTTGACAAGAGGACACTTTCTTCTTACCATGTGGTTGAATGCACAGCTGTCTTATACAAATCAGAAGTCTAAAATTAACAATACCTGTTGGCTTCAGGAGAGAACAGTCAACCCAAGAGCCCCAGTAGTCTTCCTGGGATGTGGTGACAGCTTCCTGCTGGTCCCATAATTTCCATTGTGGGTATAGCCAGCTACAAAGCCATGTTATTATTTTTGTTTGCTTTACCCTTCCTTCTGCTGCTTTCCTCTGCCTCTTGCCTCCTTCTTTGAGTAAAACAGCAATCTCCAGCTTTGTGTCAGCTCTAGGTGCCCTCCGTTCTTGAGGCTGTTGGATCCTTGGTGCCCCCTTTGATAATAACTAATTTGATAATAAATAATAACCATAATTACGGCAAATCTCATGGGCTACATCCCTTTTCTCCACTGTCTGTGTGTGAAGATGCTGGACTGCTATATGTGTGAGTGGTGAGAACTGAAACACCTTTGTGTTTCATCAGCAAAGGCTGCTTTGATGTGAAGACTTTGCCAGTATTTAGTTGTCATGAAGGATAGGACCCAGAAGGCCAGAGATGGGTAGATGCCCCAACATTTCTGGATTCCCATAGAGGGGTGCAAATTTCATTCTCCGTGCATCACCCATGTTTTTCCTGTACTGTGCAGTAGGCTTCTGTCTCTTGGGAGAGAATGGTCTCTTGGGGACCTGAACCTCCTGCACCTCTGGGAGAACAGTGTTACCTTCATTCTCATTTCCAAACAGCGAGTTCTTCCAGCAGCAAATCTGCTGGGTGGTGTCTAAAAGAAACAGAAACCTGAAATTACTCCTGCCAGTGGTGGTGCCTGTGTTAAGGCTCTGATACTCAGTCCCTTGCACTCATTACTCATCTCTCACCCCTCAGCAGCTGCTGGGGTGATTTCTTTTAGTCTCGGAATAAAGCCAGAGGCGCATCTCCAACTCTTCCTTCTAGGTAGGTTTGTCCAACAATGGAGAGATTGTTGACTGACCAAGGGATCATTGTTCTAAATGTGGGTGGGATGCCGCTAGAAGATAATCTGTGTAACTACTGCATGAATGCATTTACATGACTCTCTTCAATCCCACCTCTGCCTTTGTTAATGCACAGTTGTGAAAGAAATTGGAAGCATGTCACAGACAGCTCTCCCCACAACTGTCTATCCAGCTCTGCTTCTCTTCCATGGCTACACAGTGGTCCTAGTTTTGATGGTCACAACACTAAATATAATTTGAGCCTAGCTCTGCTGTGTCGTGGTGCATTAGCAGCCAGCACTCTGAATCCCTTCGCTTTTCTGTGGTTCTCACCCTTACCATAAGGCTATCGTGTTCACATCCTGTGTTTGCTTGTGTTGTTTAGAGAACACAAGACAAAGAACAGCTGTTACACGAGCAGGCACTCTCTGGGGTTAATGCTCAGGACTCCAAACTCTTTATCCTTCTATGCTGTAGGTTAGGACAAAACCTGGTTTTCCAGTGCTTTTTAGATAACTATCTAACCCATTTCCATCTGCTGACTCAGCTCCCTCTGAAGTTACACTCCCCACAGATGGTAGGTGTTTTCTGTTACTTGATTCAAGTGCAAAAATGCTCCTAGGCAACTTGGAAATGGCTGGGTAGATTTTACCAAACTATCCCGCCAACTCTGCTTCTGCTGTGGGAACAAGTGGAGAAAACTTTAGCCCAGACATTGCAGGGAGGGCCTCAACACTAGGATTTAGCACGAGTGTGCCTTCTCCACCCTACTTGCACATGAGTGTCTGGTCTTCAGGGAAGCCTTGGATGGTCTTTTGTGGGCCTGTCACTCTAGGCAGTTGGAGGACAAGTGGGAAGGAGGTGAATGGAGACAAATCTCATGTCAGTCAATGCAGGTGGCAGGGATTCCACCCCCGCTTCCAGCATGTTCTGTAAGCATCTGAGGTTTTATATTGAGCAGCTGAAGGATGATGTTGGAGGGTGAAAGGCACCGACATATTGGAGATTGCTGCCACTTACCATCTCCCTCCCCCACTTGGTGGGAAGTGTGGGTCTGTTCATCTAGAGCCTACTACACTCCCCAGCCTCACCCCAAAGCTCTAACAGCCAGTGGAATGTTGACAGAGTGGTACTACACTCAGGTAAAACAAATATACCTTCCGGTAGGAGCAGGAACCTGCAGGCTCCAGCATCCGGGGTCCTCTGGCCACCTCCTGCCTCAGTCTTAGTGCTGGGGAAAGAAAGGAGTGCACACACCCAGTGCTTCTCTAGAAGCCAGACTCTCTCCTAAGCTGAGCTGTCACACTGGAATTCCTTGGCATTCATGTCTCCACTCTAGGACCTACATGGTCTCTCCCACTCTCATTCATACCCTGTTGCTCTTGGTATTTCAGTATACTGCTTTCAATGCCTTTCTGCCCACCAAGATGCTTTTCCAGGCAGGGGGTGCGAGGACAGACCCAGTCTGACTCTGCTGAGCTCTCTCCAGTTCATTTAAGTTACACAGTTCTGTCTGTGTAATATAGTCTCTTGAATCTATCTGTCTTTTCTTTCCTCTCCCTGAGCCAGAAGCCTCAATCTGCCAACAAATGGGATAATTTTTCAGCTGGTGTTTGGCAGCCATAATTTTTCTCCCTGCCCAACCAATGCTTTGTTGTAGCAAATGGAAAAGTTAGTGATTTGACTTCTGAATAGGAGGATATGCCTCAAAGGAAACAGGTTCCCTGTAGCATCAGGAGCTCAGCTCTGCAGCAGCACTGGCCAGATTTACTGACTGTTACTGGAATGATTAGTGGAATGATTGTTTGTTGTTAACAGCCCATCTGTAGTGTTTAAACTTCATCGGGGAGCTGAATTTCACAGGCATTATCTGGCTGAAGTACAGCCTCATATGGTCCACAGAGGGGCTGTTAAATCCCAGAGGAAATTAAATACAACAGGGGGCCTTCCTGTTATGTTGATCCAACTGATCTTTTTTCTCTGATAGAAATCAGCAGCTGGGTTGATGTTCTCTGGGGCATCAATGTGCCTATTGCTGCTGGCAGAGAACATGAAAAAGTGTCTGTCACTAAGGACAGGTGCTGAGACCATGACTTTCTGCCACACGTACATTTTGTCATCACAGGAGTATCTTTCCTTGTACTCTATTCATTTTGTTGTCACAGTGAGATGATGTTTGGAAGACACAGATAGATACTCACAAATGAAGGGGGAGATAAGATAATGTAGAAAAGTTTCATGCGTGTTTGTGGCATAGATAAACATGCAGTGATGCACAGCACCACATCTCTTTCTATCTTATCAAGGTGTTTTTGTCAGACTGATGCAGGTGAGGAATAAGAACTGGTTTTTTGCCTTGCAAAAAGGGCTGATGCTGAGGTTTGACTCTCAGTGCAGAGGAAGGCTCTCAGATCCCTCTTGGAGTTGACATTAATGCTCTTTCCCACTTTGTCTTACCTCAGCATTTCTCAGAGAACCTGGATCACTTCTCTGACAACATGGAGGATTTCTCCAATGACCTCTTCAGCAGTTTCTTCGATGACCCAGTACTGGCTGAGAAGAACCCTCTGCTGGACATGGACCTGGATCCACCCACTCCAGGCATCCAGGCAGAGCACAGCTATTCCCTCAGTGGAGATTCTGCTCCCCAGAGCCCCCTCGTGCCTGTCAAGACTGAAGATAATGCTAACGGTGAGCATGAGATGTGTGCACTCCACATCTTTGGGCACATCTGTTTGCAGAGGTTCTGGCTGACTTTCATATATAAGGACAAAATAGCTATTCCTTGGACTTGCACATGGCTAATCCGGGGAAGAATTTGATTTGCTGTTGTCAAATACAGCCCACATTTTTCCCTTCCATTTGTGCTCTGATAGTCACATTACTTCTTTGCTGGGCTTACTGTTATTTATGAGGATAATAATTGCCTATGGCTCAGTGTGCTGCCAGCTTCTGGCAAGCAATAGGCAATGTCTTTTTAGGACCCTGCAAACTTGGGTGTGGATGCCCTAGATCCAGCTCTGTTTTTGCATCAGGCACCAGGGTTTTGGCTTGCACATAGGAAGCATGAGTCTCTGGCTGCAACCAGTGCTGGTATGTGTGGAAAGCTAAGTGGCTTCTTTACCAGCAGATTTTAGCAGGAGACAGAGAGAAACAGTTATTTCAAAACTTATTTTTAAAACAATTCATTTCAGGATAATTTATGATGGCTGGGTATTTTTAGATCTGTCCTTGCAGAGAGTCCTGTAATTTGTGGGATTGTGTGGGTGTCCCAACAGCTGATGGACACCAGGCTGCCTGAAAAAGCAGTGGCATAGGCTCAGTACACACAGAAGACAGCTATTCCTTTGAGCAACAGTGAGACCTGGGACAGAGACTTCCCTCTCATGACTAGGAATGATCCCAGCTTTCTGGTACAAATGCCAAGGCAGAAGGAGAGAAGGCTGGCCTCTGCTACCTCTTTGGTACTTGAAAAGGCACAACCATCTGCCACATTCCTTAGGGGCATCTCAGAGAGATGCTGGGAGAGAGGTTTATGGCAGGCCAAGCAGCTCTGCCTTAGTATCAAAAAAACTTTCAATTTGCATTTATTTTTCCTTAGTTTTAACCCCAGTACAATCTTGGAGGGGGCAACTAACAAAAAAAAAACAAAACCAAAAACAACCCAAACTGGCATGAACAAATAAACACAAGTTTGTTTTGCCCCTGAAAACAGGAGAAAAAAAAGAGGAGATAAGACTTGAGAATGAGAGAAGCCAAAAGAGTGCATTTGTAGAAAGTGAAATGAAGACTGCCTACATGAAGCTATCTCAAGGACTCCTCTCTGAGACACTTAGCACCACTTCTCCTTCTCTCCACTGTGTCTGCACATGCCCTTCCTTCAGCTGTCATGTCTCAAAGGCAAGACTCTCTTGAATGGAGTATAACACTGATCCTTGGGCAGAGGCCAGCACAGGGTGTACAGTGCACAACCCAGGAGAGCTGGGCCTGGCATTTGCCCTCTGAGAGTGCAGATCAGTTTAATAAGGGGCTAAGGCCTAGCATTATGATGGCAGGTAAAGAAGTATCCATGCACCCAGTCCTGCAGCTAGATAATTCAGGTCATCTTTCCAGGGCTTTTTTGGCTCATAATTGCATGTGAGTCATATTCTAGTGAAACCCTGAGTCAGGTCCAGTATTTGCAACACTGTGCAGTCCTTTTGGCACAGTTCCATCCAGTCTCAGTCCTTTTAGACATTCAGTTCCAATTAATTATCCAGAAATGTTTTTTCTTTAACATTAAGCAAGCTCTGCTCAGTCTGCAGAGCTCCTCAGGAATGCCCCTGCTCTGTCTAGGCTTGGAGCTGGCTGAGGCTTGCTTTTTATCAGCTTTCTCCCAGCTTTTCTACAGATCTCCAAAACTCTTCCAAATCCTGTCCCTTCCCACATGGTTCCCACTAACACAGGTCAGCTAGGGCAAGCCACTGGGTGCATTGTGACCCTGCTTATCAGTGGAGTCTGCTTTCCAGATGGCTTGTGCATACGGACTGGCTGTTTCATTTCTCAGTACCAGCCCTGAGTTTTGCAGGGTGTGATTTGATGCCAGGAGCAGGGGGAGCCAGGGTTATGCAGAACAGTGGGCATTGGATCAGCCTCGGGTTAGTGCCTGCCTTTCTGTATGGCTCCTGCTTTCTCACTGCTCTTTGCCTGACCTCCTCAACCCTGGGCAGCTACAGATATCTGTCAGCCATATTTCTTCCCAATAGGTACAGAGTATCTAGAGCAAAGATGAGCATCTTGGCATGCCTCATCCACCAACATACAGTGAAATCTGCAGTGTTACAGTGTTACCTCTAAAACTGAAAAAAAATCCTCTGAAAAATCCTCTCAGGCAGCAGAACAACCTAGACGTGTCCACACTAGATGCCTACTCCTCAGTCCCTCATTGACCCTCTGATGGCTTATTTGTCTCTGATTCTGTAACCCAATCACTCTCCAGATGAATCTCCAAGGGTGGGAAAAAGAGCAGGGTCAGAATGTAGACAGGAAATGGGAGGACGGCACATACTTATTTGGGTGTCTGCTACTTGGCCTGTCTGGACTGACAGCACTGGGGGCTGCTCTCTCACTGAGTCAAGTCTGATGGGGAGAGCCCTTGGTGGTCTGCTCCCCCTTGTCTGGTAACTTGCTTCAGCAGCAGCCCTCACAGACAGAGGAACCTCACACATCTGAGAAAAGAGAAATGCAGATCTTTGCAACAGAAAGGATGAGGAGGAAGAGGCTTCAAATGACAGGAAGGAGCTTCAGAGTAGCCAAATATTCCCACGATGGGCATAACAAAACCATAGAAGAGTTTAAATGGGGCAGCTGTGAACTCTTTAGCACTTTTCAAAGGGGTGGGTTCAAGTGAATCATCTATCAGGACTGACACAGGTTTAGTTGAATTTGCCTAGAGCAGTGGGATAGACTTGAAGATCTCTCAAGGTCCCTTATTTCTTTGAAAGGCAGAAGTCAGTCCAAATTTTCTGGACACAAACACTCGTGTCTATGTGACACCTTGCCTCCTTCCATCAGAAGGGGTTTATCTGCATACCAGGGTAACTAGGACATCACTGCCAGTTGTGGGTTTAGTGTCCTTAGCTGGACAGAGAAGAGTCCACTCTGTGTCTGCTCAGTAGGCTCTGCATTGTCGCAGCTGTACAGTGCACCCCTGCCTGAGATGCTGCCTGATGACATTAGCCCTGCTGCATTGTGGGAAGCTCTAGAAGGCAATCCAACAGCACTGAGAACAGCACAGGCAGCTGAGACACATGCAGCAGCCACAGGAGCTGTGTCTGTGCTTAAAGGTATCCAGTCACAGAGGCAGCTGGAAGGAATGAACATCTGCTAGAGAGACATGTCTAGGCAGAAATAAGAGGTGCTAGACCAAAGACAGGAAAACAGCATATCCCATTGGCAAGGCCTACACGGTGTTACCATATATAGTTCTTATCTGTGCTTTAACACCACTCTGTCCAAGCAAAGGCCAGAGGCAGGATTCTGCCCTAGCTTCTCCTGAAGACAACACAGGCTGAATAGGGCAAAAACAATGTTAACATGTCTTTAAGTTAGATCAAATGGCAGCTCCTATATGAACAGCTGCTTGTTTGTACTCTTCTTCATGCAGGTTTTTCTGGAGCAGAGGAAGACCTTTCTCCCTCTCTCCTCTTGCCAGCACATCTTCTGGACTGAGGCCTGCACTGCAGAACTGCTCTGGCAGCAGACAGCTAGGCAACGTCCCTGGGCCTGACTGAATGTGCTGCATGCAGAGAAGTTAGAGAGTGAGTCAGACTGTGGCCTTGTGGAGGCAACTGGAGCTCTCTCTGGTGACACGCTTAGCAATAATCTGTCCTGTGTCAAGCCAAATGTATTTTTGCTTGTCAGATGAAAAGGGAAAGGGAAGAGATGAGGATTAGGAAGGAGGGTGCAGGCTGCAGGCCAGCTAGGAGTAGCCTTTTGGCAGGCTGAAGTATTTGAAGAGCAAAGAACGAAACTTTAGAGCAGAGCCCAGGCAGCTCTCCTAGCGGTCTTTTTCCCATCTGATCTGCAGTTTATCTGGGATCTCTACTTCCAGTGGCAAGCCAGGCTCACACCACAGATGCACACTGGACAAAGCAGGCAGGAGGCAAGGGGAGCATGCCCCCACGACTCCATTCAATTCTCTTCAGACACTCCCTTTCCCTCACTGCTGCTTCTTGTCCCTGCCAGCAATGGCAGCAGGGTACAGCTGTGGACAGCAGTCCCCTGAGCAGCCCAGGGTAGAGAAGAGAGTCTCAGAGGTGAGACTGAGTGGAGCAGCTGTGGAAGCAGCCTCACAAGCAGGTGCTGCAGTGGGCTTCCTTCCACAAAAACGGGCCTTCCTCCTCTTCTGTCATGCAGCAAAGCCCTGGTACTTGGCACGACATCATCAGGAGGCCAAAGTAGCACTGTCAGCCTTTCACTGTCATCACGCTTGCTCTCTCACCAGCTCTCTAGCACAGAGGTGGTGCTATTCTTGATAACACACTTGGCAGCTCTGTGATGCTGGCCATGCTGCCTAAGGAGTAGCAGCCCAGCATCCTCCTCTCACTGAGCCCTAAATATAAATAAGCTCCAGAGGATGAGACCTAGACATTGCTGGAGGAAAAACCCTGCAGCTGTCCTCCAGAGCTTGGGCTGTACACTCGGAGCACAGCAGAGACACAATTCCTCTATCTCTGTCCTGTCTGCTCTCCACACACTGGGGGTTCATTCCCTTTTGTACTCTGTGTTGTGGGCCTGCACATGCTTGTGTGGTGACAGTGCTAAACTTGGAAAGGCAGCCTCCTCAGTCAGAGGAAGCTGTCTGCATGGCTTTTTTTTCCCTTGCCTTGTCTTTGCTGGAGTTTGACTCATGTTGTGCATGTTTCAGAGCTGGAGAATGGAGTGTGGTCACTGGGACCCAAGCTCTCCTCCATCATGGTGAAACAGGAACAGAACCTGCCTCTAGACCTGCCTGAGTCCCAGCTGCCTGCCAGCTCCATACCAGTGCTGAACCTCAACCCTCTGCAGAGACTGCCACTCCCTGAGGAGGTGAGCCCATCTAAGATCTATCGGGAGTCTGGGCTCTCACACAGCAGCACACCTGGTGATGCAGACCCAGCCATGTGACTCCAGGGTCCTGGAAGGTGATTTAGCTACTGAACAGACAGAAGAAGGTGTTACAAAGCCCAAATACTGCATTATTTGTCATTCTCCTCTTGAAATGGCAGCACAGGAGGCTTTACAATCTCAGTTAAATATAAGCATGTTTCCTTGGCACAAAAGCCAAAAGCTTTAAGCTTGCACCTACTGGAGATCTGTCCCCTCCAATATGCCAGTATTTCTGTAGCCACTCTTGGCTTATTTTAATTTTTCAGAGAACAGTGTCAATTAATTTGATGCCAGTGACTCCACTATTCCTGCATACAGACCCCAGCTCTGCCACTGTCTTTTTCATGGCTTTGGACTTGTCACATGGCCTCTCACTCTTTGTAGCTGCTCACTGGAAATGTTGGTCCCACTCCACATCCTGCTTGCTTTTTCCTATGAAGCAGCAGGATTTATTATTTCTGTGTAACAAGGGGACAACTCTTTTGGTCACATCTAAGTTCTTAAGAAGTCTCTTTGTCTGAAGGAGGTTCACTTATGCCACTGGTATGTGGGTGTGAGTTGAGGGCTTAGTTCAGCTGGCCTTGAGACCAGCTGTGTTGGATGAGAAGGTCTGACCAGTCTCACACAGACCTTGCCTATCTTGTAGCAGCTCAGCAGATAACAGTAGAGCATCACTGGGGTTCACTTCCTTTTTTCACTCATGTTGAACATCTTCCCATTTAAACAGGCATCCAAAACAAATGAGTTCTTCCAGCCAAAACTGTGCACAAACTTCCTCTATTATTTACACAGCTTGAACTTGCTGTGCCCTCCAGTCTCTGCTGTGTATGCTCATCAGCCATACCATGGTGCTCTCAGCTGTGTTTACAGTCTGGAGGAGTTTGCAATGTGTCTGTTTAGTGTGAAAACTCCACCCTATGGTGGGCTGGGGGCTGGCAAGCCAGGAGGCTGAGGGGCAGCATAATGCAGATGGGAGTAAATCTACTCTTTATTCAGTTCTTGGTCCCCTCCGACTGGAAACAGTTGCCCAGTGGTCCTGGTGAAAATCACATGAACAGGACAGCAGGGTTGTTCTGTTTCTGTACAACCTTTATACTCCCATTTATAATGAAGGCAGATCAAAGAAGGACTTCCCGTGGTAATGCAGGGGTTGGTTTAAATTACACTGTCTGGGTGTATCAGAGGAAGAATTGCCAAGGATAAAAGTCATCTCATTTGGAGGTACTCAGCTGAGTGCATTGCTTGGCAGCACATCCATCTGCCAGTGCCACTTCCTCTGTAAATGTGTTTGCACTCTGTGTGCCCAGCAACTGAGACTTCAGGGGCTTATGTTTGAACTCTTGGTTTCCTCCATGGTGAGAGGCTCCTTTGGGGCAGAGCTGTGAGATGGGGCTGGATAGGCAGCAGGGGAGCAGTGGCTATGGACAGAACTGGTGGGAGCCTTCTGGGCAGGGGAGGTGGCAGTGGCCAAGAGCTCTTTCTGCTTTTCTTCCACAGATTCCTGTAGAAATGACTCCAGCACCTGTGATCAAAGCTGAACCCAAAGAGGTGAACCAGTTTCTAAATGTACCTACAGGTAAGAAGACAGAATTTCCTGGTGAACTATATTACTCAGCTATAAATTGTTATTATACAGGGCAGAAAGACAACACCTAAAGGCAGAGCTGTGCATATAAGGTAGCACTGGGGCAGAGAACAATAGAGAAGTGGGCACTGCACTGTTCTAACTCAGATCAGTGTCTGCATCAGGAGCCACACACAAAATTGTTCAGACAGGGACTCCCAGGCAAAACAGGCTCCTTCAGAGTTGGAAATATGCAAGAGTGCCTTTAAAATCCTCAGAGAGACTGTAGAGCTATCCAAAAATAACCATCTGAAAGTCAGGAAATTCAGGATCCAGTTTAATTTGAAAGAAACCCAAGCATCTGAAAATCTGCCGATGCACAAATGAAAGCACTAAGGGAACTCCCACTGCCGCAGAGAGACATTCCTTAGGCATATTCCCACCTCCATTAAGGCCCCTAGGGCTCTCCAGTACAAAGTGGGGACAGTTTTCAAGTGCTTGGAAACCAACTGAGTGACCAGAGCCCCGCTGGATCAAGTGTGCTGGCAAGTGTGTGAGCCCTGCAGTGCTTTTGGAAGAGCTTTTCTCTCACAGAGCTTCCTGTACTTGCAAACAGGCTATGGAGCAAAACATCATGGGCTTTTTACTTCATGTTGGTTGACACTGGAATACCTTACTGCTTTGTAAATACCTTCTGTTCCTTGGCAAAGCCCTGCCAGCTCCTCTGCAGTTCCTAGTTTAGTACATTTGAGGTCAGTCTAACCTCTGTCTTGGGCAGCACTCAGTCAAGCCTTTTTCTCAGACTCACCCCATCTTGTGAAACTCATCACCCTCTCCTTTCAGCCCTGTGTTATGGCAGGACCCTATTCCTATACCAACAGGCTGACATGAGAGACATTGACCTGATCTCCTTATTCCTCAGTAGATGACCTGGTGCAGATGCCTCCAACTCCACCCAGCAGCCATGGCAGTGACAGTGACGGATCTCAGAGTCCTCGGTCCCTGCCTCCCTCCAGTCCAGCCCGGCCTGCTGCTCGCTCTTCTACTGCCATCTCCTCCTCACCTCTCCTCACAGCACCACATGTAAGGAGCCAACAGCGCTGGGACACAGGGCTCCTTGCTGCTTAGAGGGGTTTGTAGGAATTCCAAGGCGTAGGTGGAGGTTCCTGCCCTTGCTAAGGTCTCCAAGATTAAATGCTCTGTCAAGGCAATGTGATGTCTTAGCACAAGGATGTGGGGACAAGAAGTGCTCACAGGAGTGAGAAGAGGCACAGTGAATCTTGCACATCTACCAGCAGCTATCTTGTTTTAGCAGGTGCTGTCTTTCATCCATACTTTGGGAAGTGACCTATGCACTACGAGGACTTTCTGAGAAGGCTAATGAGAGAGGAATTCCCATAACCAGACCTTTTTAACTGTTGCCCAGAAGTTTTTTGGCAGGGTCCTGCAGTGCAGGTGTGTAGCCAGCCTCACAGTGAAGGAACAGATGCCCTCCCAAGGAAAAGAGGAAAGGAGGTGCTGAGCTGTGCCCCCAGGATCAAGTTGAGAGTAGGAAAGAGCACTGCCCTGCACCTGTTTGGTGTCAATGGGCAGCAGTGTATTCTATTCTGATGCAGCCTCTGGCTGCTCTGCAAGGCTTTAAGGAAGATCACTGGAGTAGAATGCCTTGCTGACACTGATGGATGCTCTCTGTGTTTTTCAGAAGTTACAAGGAACCTCTGGCCCACTGCTCTTGACTGAAGAGGAGAAGCGCACCTTGATTGCAGAGGGTTACCCCATTCCTACCAAGCTACCCCTCACCAAAGCAGAGGAGAAAGCACTGAAGAGGGTCAGGAGGAAAATCAAGAACAAGGTGACTGCAAAATATGTAATCATGCAGTTCCCATGATTCCAGAGCATCCTCAGCTGACCAATGCTATAGTTACCCTCACCTCCTCAGCTGCACTGCAGCTCAAAAAAGGTGGGATTGTGTCTTTGGTACATTAGCACAAGCCTCCCAACCCACAAAAATGGTGCCAAGGGGCATCTGTGCTTGCATGCTCTGCATACAGCCATACCTGGTAACTGTGGCTTCCTGCTCAGCTCCTGGGAGTGTGTGGAGTGGAAAGGGTCCACAGATCAGACAAACTGGTCTGGTCATGCCTTGTTGCAAGGACAGGGAAACCAAAGCCATTGCATGGTGCGGGACGGGTGATGCAAAGTGTTCACTAGACAGGCAGAGGCTGTGAGACTTTAGACTGGGATTAGAAAGCATCCTGTGGGAAAAATGGTGAGACTGAACTAATCACCCAGTGACTCAGAAGTGGCCTGGGGTAGAATCAGCCCAAATGGCCACAACATATACCCATGTGAGTCAGAGGAGTGGAACGAAACCCTAAAGATGCTCTCAGCATCGAGGGGCATAATGCAACAAATGGTTGCAGGCTCCAAGCCAAGGAAGGCTGCATACCTACAGCATCCACCACCCCCCAGTTTTGGCCTATAGATCATCAGGGATGGCAGACTGGAAGGCAGCTCCTCTCTTGCCTTTAGTGCAAGGAAACAGACAAGATGCATGAGCCACAAAGAAATGTCCAGAGGCTTATGATACTGACTCCCCTCTGCCCTCCTCACAGATCTCTGCTCAGGAGAGCCGCAGGAAGAAGAAAGAGTATGTGGAATGTCTAGAGAAAAAGTAAGTTTCTTCTTCTCAGTCTTACTTTGAAAACAGGAATCCTGTCCATGCACAGGACCCCTTTCTAGTGTTTTGTCTCTGAATTGCTTAAAAAAATACAATTCCTTGCAAGGCTGGCTGCCCAGGAGTTTGGTTTGGGATTCTGCCCCAACTCTCCTCCCTCCTAGAAATCCTCTTGCGGGATAAAGATTGGTCAGGAAATTTTGTGTTTCCAACTACTTAATTTGGCTGGTCCCCTGAAAAACACAGGCCATTTTGCCTGCCAACAAGGTGGGATTTTGGGTTTCCCCACTAGAAGTTGCTTCTATTTTGTCTGTCCCATAGGTGGCAAGCTCTCTGAGGGCAGTGATCATGGCTTTTTCCCCTCTCTTCCCATGAAGGTGGACACACAAACATTTGATAGTGAGAAAAACCTTGCCTTGCAGTTATTCCCCACTCTCCCCCACTTCCACTCTCTGCATTTGCTTTGTTTTTCTCCTTGCAGCCTTGCTTTCCTCCTATGCATGGTAGGCATAAGCCTAAGGTGATGTCATGTGACACTGACTGGGTAGAAAATAACTCCTGTACTAGCAACCCCTAATGTGCATTCCCAGGCAAAGAAGAATGCTGGAATCCAGGCACAACCTCATGTTTCTGTATAATTACCATCTTCTTCCCAGTTACTAACACCATCTGAGATCAGCAAATGGAAAAAAAACAACCCCCAAACCCAACTTTAATTAACTCTTTTCCCTGATGCTATTTATCTTCTCTAGTTGCACAGAAATGCTCAATTAAAGCAGATGATTCAAGGCACCTCAGTGTGCATGGGTATGTCCAGGCATCAGAGCACATCACCTCCAGCTAGTGTCCCATATGGGGACCTTGAAGCCAGGGCTGGGGAGTTGGCTGACCTCGCTCAAGGGGCAGGTCCAGGGCATTTGGTGCTGGGGCCTCCTCCTCCCCAGATGTGGCTGTGGTGCCTGTATGTACTCAGCAGTTTGTTACACTAGAGCATTGCTATGACAGATGGCTTTCAAACAATGCCAGGTTTAAATGTGAACCAAAAGCAGCATTCAGTGTTTTTTTTATTTTATTTTTTTTTTTAATAGAATATGTCTTTGGTCAGCTTGGCTTACTAAAAACTGGTTTGTCAAAACCTGTACTTGGGTCCTTCCCATTCAGTTAGACACTTTTGCTGGAAGCCCAGTTTTTGCACGGAACGTCTGGTCCAAAAGCTGTGCTGCAAACCTCCAGCAGGATTAGGCTGTGCCTCTGGCTTGCCGTTCTCCCAACCTGGAGGCACTCCCCTTCCCTTGTCCCAGCTGCAGCCCAACCACTTTCCCGTCGGAAGCCGCGGGAAGGAGCCTGCAGGTTCTCTGCTGCCCTCAAGTGCCTGCAGTCGGAGCTGGCCCAGCGTTTGCACAGAGCGGCCTGGATTTCACAGCTAGGGTGCAGGGCTCAGGGCAGCTTCTCAGGGAGGGGTTTGACTTTGTCCCCCTCTTCCTTTTTCATTCTTCTTAGGGGGGTTTGGAAGTGATGGAAATGTCTACACAACTTTGGGTCTGTCCTGACTTGACCTGCCTGTAACCAGGTGCTCCTGTCTCTCCCAAGCCTCAGAAGACCCTGAACTGGGAAATGTCCCAAGTAACTGTCCACCTGCAGTCTCATCCCTGCCCCATTGGGACTGGCTGCAATCAGATGGGCCAAGTAACATTTGATTTCAGGATCATATCTGCAGGTGACAGACGAAGCCACTGAGCCTCCATGCCTCATGAATTGTTTTAATCTCTCTGGCCCTTGTGACTAACTGGCTATGGGTTTTATTCCCATAGGGTAGAGACATACACAACAGAAAATAATGAACTCTGGAAAAAAGTGGAGACCTTAGAAAATGCAAACAGGTAAGAGGAGCTAGACTTGACCTTCTGTGGGTAGGGCAGGGTGGGTAGGATGGGAAGTCAGGAGCGCTGAAGCAGGGGGACAAGAAGAGAAAAGCAGGCTCCCCCAGCTCCTGGACGGGTGTTGCTTGGCGAGGTGCTGGGTTTCAGCCCGTGACAGCAACAAGGCAGCTGGGTTTGGTTAGCAAGCCTGGAATGTTTGTGTTGGGACGCCAGGACACTCCGCAGCGAGGAGAGGGAGGGAAGGCATGTTTCCCATATCTCTTTGTCCTTCTCCCTGCAATCCTTTGGGCTCATGCTGCCTTCTCCATTCCCCTCCAGGGCTCTGTCTGTCTCTAGAGCAGATGCATTAAGGGAGGCTCCTCACACCAGCCTCTCACTGGTTCTGCTTTTTGGCTCTTCAGAGAAATACAAGGCCCTGGGCATATTGTGGCTGTTTCAGGTTTCTCTTGAGAAAGCTGAACAGACTTGGTGAATACAGGGAAAGCCCGTTCTTCTAATAAAAGTAGAGATCCCAACTTCCACTAAAGCCAGGGCAATTCCTTGTGCATGTGGTGTTCTAGCCCTTTCTCAGTCTCTTTTGGGCAAAGCAAGCCCAAAGAATCTCTGTCTCATCCACTGCTACTGCTCACCTGAAAGGAGCAAGCTTGCTCTCACAGCCCCAAAGTTCTCTCACCCAAGGCTCTGGGTTTCCTAATTCTAATTCTGGTGAGCACTTGTGTTTCTAATATGCAGAGCTGGCCAACCAATCACCAGGGGAATTTGGTTCCTTGGAAGCAAATAATGAAGACTTCCACCCTGCAGTGGGGTAGGCAGCTGGAGCTACAGGAGAGCCTAGCTCTGCCCCCTCTTATTGGGCACAACAGGTGTGAGCAAGGGCAGGGTGAACTGCAGGGGATACTTGTCTCTATAGCTCCATTTATATAAGCTTGAATTGAAGGGAGAGACACAGCCAGAGAGCCAGTTCCTCACCCACTCCTCTGCTGCCATGACAGCTCACAGAGTACTCCTAGAGGCTCCACTGCACACCTTCCTCCCATCCATGACACAAGTGCAGTAGCCTTGGCTTCCAGGCCTGAACTGGTGCTGGGACAGGGGGTTGCCAGGTATGGTCTGGCTGAGGTGTGTGAGAGCCAGAGGTCTCCTGTCTGCCACAGATACAGCTGCCCATCTGCTCTCATTCATGGGGCACATCTTGCCCCCCAGCCTTTCTGGGAATGTGGGCAGCCCTGCTGCTGAAAAAGTGTGAGCTCCACCCAGAAAAAATCCGTACACTGGCCTAAAAGCCAAAAGATTTTTATTTTTCTTTCCTAAAATACATATTGTATTCTTTCTAATTTGGTTTGGTTTTTGAGCACTGCCAATGGGACACTCTGTGCTTCTCTCCACATGTACAGAGAGCAAAACAGGATTTGGAAAGGGATAAAGCTGGGATTCTCCTGCAATCTCCTGGTTCCAGGACCTGGCATTTTATAAAAGCTCAAACATACTTGTGTAGAACAGTCAGTGCTCCCAGAGGGAAAGTCAGCAATAGTCTCCACTTCAATAATATGCAGCTCTTGGGAACTGTGTGCTCTGTAGTCTCCCTCATCCCAGATTCCTTCACCAGCTCAGTGAAGGGTTCAGTAGCTCTTGTTAACACCTACCACTGTTTTGTGTTATGTGTGCAGATGCCCATGAACAGTTAAATGGGGCAGAGAGACCTTAGCATGTGTTCCAACCAGGGCAGTCAGAGAATGAATTAATTGCTGAACTCAAGATTTGGCTTTGCCTACATGCCTCTGCAGAATTTGCCAAGACTGAAGAAGCTCAAGGGGATCACAACTGTTTCTTATTTCTCTCTCCACCACAGTTTGGGCACAGGTCGAGCTTCAGAGTATGTGTCTCTGAGTGAAGTGGGAACAGGCAAGCTTGTGCTGAAGGCTTGATCTGTCTACAAAGTTCAGCCTCCATGCCAGGGCTTGGTTTTCATGGTACTCTGGCTTGCCACTGCTCTGGGAATTGACTGGCTGGACTTTCAGGCACCCAGGAGTCCTAAATGAACGGGTCATTCATAATAGTGGGTAGGTGCAGTGAAGATGGTGGTGGACCCACTGATAAGACCCTTTTTTTTTTCTTGTTTCCCAAGCCTGTTTGGTCAGAGAACTTAAGCAATATACAGCAAAGGGGAGATACTTATTTTCACAAGAAGGGAAAATCAAGGTACAATATGAACTGGGTAGTGGTATTCTTGGCTCACTTACTGGCTTCTACCTCCTTATTAAGTTTTGATATGCATTGTTTCCTATCACAGGACTCTGCTCCAGCAGTTACAGAAGCTTCAGGCTCTGGTAGCTGGGAAAGTCTCCAGACCTTATAAAATGGCTTCCACGCAGACTGGGACCTGTCTAATGGTATAAGCTTCATTTCCATCTTCCTTATTGGCCATGCTTCTCCAGACAGCTTTGTTGATTGCCTGTCTCTGCCCTCTTCCCTGCTGCCCAGCTCTGTTGTCAGTTACATCTGCTCTTTCCTTTTGTGTTATAGTCACCAGAGCTGGGCCCTGTGTCATACATACATCAGTTGTTTATGCAACAACATTAGAATAATTCCTGCATTTTCACTGTCTTCTTCTTTGGGCAAAAAAGCACTTTGTTTGCTTTTCATTAGCTATTAGCCATTCAGCAAAAATCTTCAATGAGCTTCCATCGTAATGGGCAGAGTTTTCTTTTGCTGAGCTGGTAATGCTTAATGTTTAACTCAGCAGGGCAGATGAACACTCCAAGTATTCATCCCAGTGGGCATTACCTTTTGTTTATCAGCAAGAAATGGCATCTGTTCTTGCTATGCCTGCACACAGGCTTTGTTAAATCCAGCTGGAATTCTCTTTGTCCTTTTGACTAAGCATAATAATTTGGGGTTGTCTGTTGTTTTGGTAATCCCTGTTTGCCTCGTAGTGGAGGATCATGGTTAATAAAAATTGGCTTCATTGAGGAGTTTTAGGGCATGCCAGTGTGTAGCCATAAAAAGCCAATTGCTTATTCTTCATCTCATTTTTTTTTTGCTGGGGGAAAGTTTCTGAGCCATAGTAAAAATATAATATTCACCCCTGTGATGTCTTTGCAGGATTGTCATAGTAGCTGCTCGTGACAAATTTGTCAGAGTTAGTTATCTATATCTGGTTATCACTTCTGTACTGTTAGCAGTCACAAAATGCAAACAGATGGTGAGGTACTTGCCCCACTTTCTCAGCACCATCAGTGTCCTGAGGGATTGTTTTTTGGTCCTGGTTCAATGAGTTTCCTTGGATCCAGAGCCCCTGCTCTGTCATGTCAAGCACTTCCTCCTTTCAAAATCTGCTCAGCCTTTTGCTACTCTTTGCTGCCCCCATGTCAGACCAGATTTTAATGTCTGTCTCTTTTTCCCCTGCTCTCAGTCTTCATTCCCAAGTTCTTTCCACATTTTTGGGTGTGACCCAGCTGAGCCCAGTGACTCACTGCTCCTTAATGCAGCAGCTCATCAGAGCATTCCTGGCTTCAACAATTCTTCAGTGCTACTACCTGGAATAAACAAATTTAGAAGAGGTGCCTTCCCCTGTGCTACAGGCTGATATAATATCTAATTTAGCTTCCCAACAATGCCTTATGTCTCCTTGCTGCTCCCTTTGTTGCAGGCATCCCAGCCCACACACCCACTCTCTCAGACTTCCTAGCTTTGAAGTATTTCAAGAATTTGTAATTTGCTTTTCTATCTTTGACCAGTTCCTTTCATAAGCCTCTGAGTTCTCATTTTCCATTTTAAACTACGGCATTCCTTATCATGACAGATATGTAGAATCATTGTGTCTTGCAGCATGGGAGTGGAGCAGGCTACCCTTCTTCTTTAGCCCTGTGTCATTGCCGCTGAATATTTGTACTGCCACTTCTTGAAGGCCTCCAGTGGTGAGCAGTCCTCAGCCTCCTCAGGCAAACCATTCTAGTGTTATGTTATCTTTCCCAGATAAAGCTTTCTTGCTATCTCATCTTAATCTTCCTTGCAGCAGCTTAAGCCTATTAGAACTTCTTCTACCCATTGTAAGCAAGATCTGTTTATTCTCCCTTTGTAAAATGCAGCTGCATTTTACATATTTGAAAACTCCTGTTTTTGAGCAACTCCTTTCAGTCTGGTCTGCTAAATCACCATGATTTCTTCAGCCTTCTCTTGAAGGCTGAGTTACTGAATCACTGCTTGTTCCCAGAGCTGTCTTCCAGACTTTCTCCAATGGCCCTGCAACTTTTTGGAAGTACAGAGCCCAAAGCTGGGCATAGCATTCCACCTGAAGGCCAATACAAATCCAGCCAGAAAGCCTGTTCATAAATGCCTGGGCTGAGATTTGCCCTTTGTAAAGTGACACTGACCTGGACCCATTTTATGGACCAGTTTAACTCGCAGAGCCTCTTCTGAAGAACAGCTGAAATACGTAGCCACTGATATATTTCCCCTGTTAATCACTCCTGCCACCTCAGAGCTTTCAGCAGGTCTCCACATTTGTCTGTATAGATCTTCCCACTGATCTCTTGGACCACTTCTTCCCATGGTCAAGATCATTCCAAATTTGAATACTGACCAAAAGCCAGTCTGCTTGTAATCTCTCCCATCTGCAGATTTGATACAGTCCATCATCTAAATCAAGCTTAAAAATGATGAATCTTGCCAGATCTGTAACAGATCTCTCTGCTACTCCATCTGCTACTTCCTCACAGTTTGATAGTGAACCCTTTGATAAATACACTCTCAGTATGTTGGGTTTTTTTTATTAATTTTGCCTCCACCTTTCCAAATGGTTTTGCAGTAGTTTTCTCCAGCTTAATTTCCCTTCATTTTAAGAGGTCAAATATTGAGATGGTCAAAAGCTGTGACATAAATGTTACTTAGAATCAAGCCAACAGTTACTGTTGTGAAGTGTTGTAGAATTTCAATTAGAAGAGAATCAGATCATCAGAGTTAACCTGAAACAAAACAGAGTAAAAACAGTGCTGTTTTGCAAAACCCCAGCTGAAATCCATGTTAAAGCAAGATGTTAAGTATACTGCTCTTTCTCAGCCCCAAAAGCCTGTTTTGTTTTAGAAGGAAAGAACAGACTTTACAGGGCTGTCTCCCTTTTCTCAAAGTTGTGTGTTTGGCTGTGATAATTCCAAGGAACATCCATTCAGAATTTATTTTTTCTTGTTTTTGTCAAATAAGGATTCTAAATTCTTCATGTGCCCAATATGACATACTTAAACAGCATCTATGCTGCCTTCATTTAATGTCCTTACTTTAAAACCAGCCATGAAGAGTCTGGACAATTAAAGTCCTTCTTTACGTAACATACTATTCACATGTTACTATTTCATCTTCCACATCTCCTGGAATCCACTGGTGGTCAAAACTACCTTGATGTACCAGCTTCCATGCATTACTTAGGCACAGGTATTCCAAAGTAGCTGATTTCTGAAAAGCAATCTGCTGGCTGTCCCCACAGGCATCCACCCAGGTCAAATTTGCTAGTTTATACATAGGTAGTAGAAATCATCAACAGATGCATCGCTTCTTTGGCTGTTCAGTCTGAGCACTGAGCTGGCAACAGGTAGTTACAGACGATGCATGGTGCATGAGTGTTCAGTAATTTGGCTCTGTACCATTCCCCATGTATGCTTTCTTGCTGTGTATTGGCAGTTCCCTAAGCTCTATAGAGTCCCTTACGTTCACTCTGAAGCTTTACTGTTATGGCAGAACTTCCAGATAGCTCCGGACCTACCTGAGGGGGATTTCAGGGGAAATTTCACGTACCTTTCTTCTGTTATCACTGCCTAGTAGCTCTGGCTGGTCTGCCTGATAGCAGAAGGCACTGACACATGGTCCTGCATATCTACATGTCAAGCATAAATTTAACCCTTTCCTAGAATTCTGCATCTTTACTATCAGGTATTAGAACCTGATATAGAACTGCAGTTCTGCTGTCATTTCTGTCCTTGCATGGATAGTAGCTTCACTTTTGCTCTGTGTGTAGTACCTCACAGATTTCTCACAGCGGGCTTGTTTTCTTTACAGCCTGCAACAGCTCCTGCTAAGCCAATGGCCAGGTTCCCTTCGGTCAAGGCAGAGTTCGTCCCTTTTGTTAAGCCCCCTTTTTTCAGCTTGTTTCTCAGTTGTGCCTTCCACTGTCTCTCCTCAGTAGGATAGGCAAGTTCTCACAATTGAACCAGAAATACTTCAGATAAAGCAACAAGAGGAAGTTTCTGATTTCCCTTCTTGAATTAGATTAGCACAGCAAGCCCCTTCCCTGCCTGGGGACCACAGGTACCCAGTTGTCAGTCTGACTAGATCTTATACAGCCTCATGTTGTTGTGCTGTGGGAGGAGTGCTTCTTCATGGCCAGTGGCACTGATTCTGTTCTGATCTCCTTTCTAGGTGCTGGCACTCTGCTTCGTTCTGATCCTGGGATCCCTGATGCCCTGTCTCCCTGAATTCTCTTCAGTATCACAGACAGTGAAAGCAACACCAGCACCAGACATTTATACAACTAGTAAGAGTGAGTCTAACACAGTTCCTCCATTTCAGCTTGTCAAACTATCTCCAGCTCCTCTCTCAACACTCCCTGGTCTGGCATAGCATCCTCACCTCTGCGCCTACCACATATGCTGGGACTGTGGCAAGGGAAGGCTCCTATCTGTCGGTGGTACAAACTCCATAACAGCTCCTTGTTGGGCCTGTTGTCATTCTGTGCTAACCATTGTCCCAAAACATGACAAGTATCAAAGGAAGGAACATGAGGGAAAATTTCCAGGGCAGACTGCTTGTCTTCTGAAAAGGCTGAGTGTCCAGGGGGGTCATTTGCTTCATAAAGCTGGGGAGGAGGGTATCCTGCACAGTTACACATGGATAAGGCTGGGTCAGAATGTGCTGAAACCACCATCATAACCCACACCCATTGCAAGATACCTTGTCCTCATTTTTAACCAATGCTCTCCTTTTTTCCAGTTCAGTCACGGAGCCTTCTTTTCTATGATGAGGGTGCTGGCTCCTTAGAAGAGAGCTATAGCTCCTTTCTAACCATGGACCATCCTGAGGGGTGGGAGGCCAAAAAAAGGCAGTCTGAGGAGGGAAGACCTCATCTGGCCAGGACACATGAGACGGCTAAATATTTGAGCAAAACCCAGGGGGGTCCTGACCAGAACCAAACCGACCCAACTCTCAGTCACCTCAAAGAGCAGTTCCGTGAGAGGTAAGCAGGTGGGGCCACCTTCTGAGCCCAAAACACAGCATGGTGTCTGGGGGTAAGCAGCAGGCATGTCCATCCCCTCTGCTGCAAGCTAAGGACAGTTGAGCTGCCCGGGACAGGCAGTCAGCTAAAAGCAGCAGCTGGCGGAGGACAGTGCTAGCAGGGAGCATAAGAACAAGTTCATTTTCTAGAGCAAAAGTTTGTCCGTAAAGCAGTGTCCCACTTGCATAAAAATGTGGAGGGCTGGATGACTCACGTGGTCCCAGGTTTGTGTTCCATTGAGTGCCCTGGGGAAGGAGTTCATCCTGGTCAGAGCAAACTAACTGGGCACACAGAGAGGTGAGTTTGCATAGGAGGCTATGATGAACCTTGACTGATATTTGTCTTTTCTTTTCCTCAGGGAGACAAGCTCCAGTGAGACAACTGAATTCTTGTAGCAGCTGCTGGACCTCAAGGCCTCATCTGTCTGATTGCAGGATTCCCTCCTCACTAAGCAACTGAGGGGACTTGGCAGGAGAGGACACTGCATTTAGACACTCCCAAACTGGCCTTGGGTTCAGCTTCTTCCCTTCCCCATTGTCCCCATTAGTGCTGATCTCTCTGAGGGGAGTCACAGGACTGCCAGAACCAGCAATAAGTGTATGGAGAATCCCTGAGACTCCCTCTTCTCTGGCCTTACCTCCTGCTTAAATGAGCACTACCCTATGGATGTGGGCTCACCTTGGAGAGGAGGGAGGTCAGGGGAAGCCCACAAACTATTCAGCTCACTCCCCAAAGCCTCCAGACCAAGGGGGCTGTCCCCACATGTGTACCCCTTGGCTACATCAGATGCACCTGAAGGAGAGAGAAAGTGCTGGATTTACTGTCCTGCCTGAGGGTTTTAGGAGTGGGTGATGCTGGTGCTGGAGAGATGGCTCTGGAGAGTTTGAGCTCATTCCTTGCCCTCCTTATGTTAGTATATTTCTACTTCCATTGAGAGAAAACCTAGTTCTTCCTTGCTCTAGTTTTCTCTTGATGGACATGCCTACGTAACTTCAACACCAACTATCTGCAAAGATCTGCACACAAACGGAGTGGGGGAGTGAAATCCCAGACAGATAAGTCACCATAAAAATTAGCCAGCAGCTTCTGGGTAACCAGAACTCTAAAAGAGAACAACTTTCCCTTACAACCCACTTCTCCCCACCCTTAGCACCCCTGTTTTGGTAGGGGTGGTATTTTTCTTCCTGTTCCCAGCTTGGGCCCTATAGTGCAGTGCTAACCAGGTCAGTGGTCTTCTCATTTTCCATTCTTCAGGCTTCCCCCTTTGAGAGTGAGTGAGAAAAACACATTCCCATAACCTAACCCCCATCCCAGCTCTCCATCCCTGATTCTGCTTAATGCCTAATGGAGTCTTCCTAGGAACCACCAAGGAGAGGTCTACAACCCATTGGAGAGCTGTCAGATTAGCCATCATTCCCCTCACATCCTCTGTGTGCACAATTAGTGTTGTGAAAGCCACTGAGGACATATTGGCATTTCTGGAGACAGGTACATCTGTCAGGAAAGAGGTGGTTTGTTGGAATTGGCCAGGGTCACCAAAGACAGTTTTAGACCTCTTCTTTCTAAATGCTGACAGCAAAGGTAGCAAACTCTTGCCATACCACCTCTCAGGTCAGAATTGCCAAGTTTGGTGTTGAAGTGACATCATCTCAAGCTTATGCCATCCTCTTAGCACCCAGACACCCATTTCTGACCCTTCTTCCTCTCCAGCAAAAGTCCTGCAAAAAGGCAGAAGTGTCTCCTCAGCTGCCATTTGATGGAAGGACAATGTGGGACACGAGTGTCAGAGATCTGGGACTGTGGACACTGGACACTGTGGCAGGTTGCCCCATGTGTAACATGGGAATCCCTGTGCACTCTGCCAGATCTCACAGCAGGCCCCTCTTCTGCTTGTTTCTCATCAAGCACCCTGGACTCACTCTGCACTGCCCCAGCCTCTCCTCTTCCCCCAGCCTGGGAGTGGAGAAGGCACCCTGTAGAGGAAGGATGGGATGGCTCTTGTTCAAGGACTGGGAGAGGTGAAGGAAGAGCCCCCACATCTTTCTTTTCTCCCTATTGAAAATTGGTTTTGCCCCTCCAAAGAAAATTTGGACACAGCTGGCTGCAATCGTGCCAGTGGGGTGATGAAGAGGAAAGCTTTCAGCATTGCTCTGCTCTCCCCACAGCACCCACTGGTCACCAGATACCACTGCATTCACCATCCTCCACCTCCACCCCAGCACAAAGAACCACTGCCAGGTCCAAGCACACCCTTCTCCACCCCAACACTTCCACTGAGCATGTTCCCATGCCTCCCACTCCCACCGTTGTACAGAGATCAAGAGCAGAACTCGTTTGTACATAATGAAACTTATTTTGTATTATTGCCGATCCCTTAAGATATTGTATTTTGGAGACTCTCAGATCCTATTTTCAGTATTGTATTTTATTAAGAATTAGTGCGGGCTTGGCATCTATGAACTTCTTTCCTGTAGCAGCTCACTTTCTACTTATACTCCAGCAGCTGCTTCTTCCCTCTTAGTTTTCTTGTGGTTTTTGTTTTGTTTTGTTTTCAAGCCATCCTTTCTCCTCCTTCTATCACTTGCTCTGCATTTGCTTTATGAAGCAAAATAAAAATAAAATAAAAAGATGCAGCATCAGCCCTGGGTTGACAGGTGCTTTCATTGAGGCATGGTTGTCATGCCAGCCCACATGCACAGCCCGTCACCTCCTGCTTCCTCTCCCATTCCCTGGCCACGTGCAAAATTGGTTCACTACTGGAACTTCGTGCTCCATGTCAGGGGCTAAAAAAAAAAAAAAAATTGGTGTGTTTTATTTCCAGCAGCACTGTCATTGTCATTTCTTCTGCAGTTCTGGACAAGTCAGAACTCTTCTGCCTCAGTTTCTTCTCCCCCCTCGAAATACCACTATTATCCTCTTGGAAGGAGGAAGGCCATAGAAGAAAGTATATGAGGAGCAAAGAGCTTCTTCAACTAAGAGACTGTGCAGGGGTCTGTACAACAAAGACATAGCTCATAGCATGATGGTCCTGTCCTGTCTGAAAAAATACCTAAATCTTTTCATTAACTGTAAAAGCAGAGCAACTGCACTCAGATGGGCAATGACCTGGGTCCTGGCTGTCTGTCAGCCTGTACCTCTGACAGTCCATTTACATCTTCGAAAACTGATAGGTTTTGTCCTGATTTTGTGTGGAACACAAAGCAACAAGGGGTCTAGAAAACGAATTTTCATTTTCTAGCAAGCTTCAAGTGGATTCATTAGAATTTGGCCATTGAAGCAACTCCTTGCAGTCAGCCCTTCCTGTCTGGAAGGCAGCCCAAGCAGGAGGTCTTTTCAGAGATGCTGAAAGGTGTCTTTATCTCCCACCTCTGGCTGGGCTGGTACAGCAGGACTGTGCCACAGCAGAATGTGAGGCTTGGGGCTTACAAAGGCCTCTTTCTGCAGATTATAATTTTTTTTTGTGGAGAGGAGTAAAGCTGTTGCCTTGCTGTTTTGACTGAGCTAGCCATTGGACAGGATCTGGGAGAGACAGGAACTCACTTTCTGAGCCAGGTCTGTACTGCCAATAGGGAGTTTGATGTGCACATGGCAGGTTAATCTGACATCGTTTTGCAGACCCATGCAGAGCTCCCTTCCCCTGCCCACCCACCAAGGCAGGGAAATGCCTGACCTTGCCCTGCAGTTTCTTCCTGGGCCAGAACTAGTTTTCAGTTGAGAATCTGATGTTTTCCCTGCAGCACCCCATCCAAAAGCAGCCTGCTAACCTTGCATCTGTATGATGCACCTTCCCCCACTATGGGGTGGGACTGCTACCTGCACTCATCATATTTCATCCAAAGGATAGCCTCAGCCCTGCTTTGCTCAGCCCTGTGAAACTTCACACAGCTCTTTGGGAATTGCCTTCCAGAGAGATTTTGGTCTCCACCCGTCATGCACACTCTAAAACAGGTGCAAGAGGGAAGCTTTTAGAAGGATGAGTCCTCTGGCTCCTTTAATGCAGCCAGACCAATCAGAACCCTTCCATCAGGAGAAGATTTCCCTTCATCTTGACAAATCCTCCTAATTTTGCAGTCTAGCAGATATCTCTGAGCTGCTTAAAGCAGGCACATTAGGATCTTTTGATCCCTGCTATGCCTCCCAAAATGCACCAGCCAATCACACCTACCAATTTGGCTACAGCAACTAATTGGAGCAGATTGAGAGAATTAGCAAAGCAAGAGTCACCTTCTTTACAAGTCACCTTCAGCCTCACTCAGTTGTGCTTGGCCTGCTCCAAGTGCCCCAGTTGAGCTCTGCCACAGCAAGCTGGGTTTCTGCCCAATCAGGGTCACATTTCTCAGAAGCCTCTGCACTGTCAATTCATACAAGCCCTGAACAAAAAAATGCTAACAGCACATGGACTTCGTTTTTCAGAGACAAATTATTTCCAATTGTTCTGTTACCAGGCCAATTAAAAACAACAGAAAAAGAGAAAATACTTAGGTTTTGTGGTTTGCCGCTGCCAAGAGGGTCACTGGCAAGCAGTGTGTGGCAGCAGCCTGGTGGGTGTGTTTTATTTGTTACAGAAGGACACATGGTGTTAGGGCACTCAGGAGAGTATCCATGCTCTCCAAGACTGGCATGATCTCTCTTGCTGTTCCCTTTTGGGGGTGTGCTAGCAGCTGTCTCACATGTCCAGCATGGGATAAACAGGCTTTGGTCCTGATACCAGGCAAGAAGCCTGGGCTTTTGGACACCTTCTGGGGAAAATGGGGCAGTTGCACCCCCTCACACCCCCCAGGTGCTGGGGGGCTTGTTAACAGTGATAGCACCTGGATGGACACTGACTTGGCCTGCCTCAACAAATCTGTGTTGATTTTCTAATCTGGTGGCTGAAATGGGGCTTAGAGGTGAGCAGGTTGTTCTTGTGCCCAGGGAAGGTGACTGTACCTTCTCAGAGTTTTACTCACTAGAAACACTGCTTCCTAGAAAGCTCATGTCCTGCCTATGCCTGCAAAAACAAGGATGGGGTCTGTATGGTAAATACCATTATGCCTTTGCACTGTCCCACGTGCCCACACAGAAGCAAATCCCTACCCAGGGCACAGAAGAGGCATGCTCCTTCCTGTCCCCCGGGTACACAGGTAAGCACCAGGTAAGCCTGGTGACCTGGATCAGCTGAAGGGTGCCAGGAGGACAGGACTGACCCAATCCTACTGTCCAGGTCCATCATCCTCAGGCAGCATCTGCCTGCTCTTCCCAAGTCCTCAGGGAGCTCTAAGTGAAGGGTGACCCCATTCACGACAGAAACACAAAATATCCAGCAGAGTCAGGTGGGAAGAGAGAGATGCAGAGGCCTGTGCAAGCCATTACATCCCCTCATGCAGGCATATCCTGTGATGTCTCCTCTTCCAAACAAAATCTGGCCTGCCCAGCCTGTGTATCAGCTATACAATCTGGCATGTGGGAAGAAAGGTAGAAATCCTCTGCTGGCAGCTCCTCCCCACAGAGAGGGTTTCTGTGGAGCAAGATCAGGTCCCTTGGGAATGCTAAAGGCACCTACTGTCCAGCCCTTTACTTTGACTTGACCAAAAGCG